TATAAAATGTTTACATAATTACTTGGGGGTGGGGGGGAAGGTCACCGAAAGTTTGAAAGTTGTTGACAAGGGGGGAGGGGGTCCAAAATTTCGTCAAAATGGTTGACGTAATTAATTGACCACCCTTTTGATCTTACCTTTATAATGTAGGCCCATTTATTTTTAAAAATATTTGTATGTGTAATAAATAAAATATATTTCTTTTTTGTTTCGTTCAGAAATTATTAAACTCAACAATGACAAGCATTCACAATCCCATAACTTGAAAGAAAATAGACTATAAAGATTCTGTCATTTCAAACGATGATTGAGACATCCTTCCTATTTTAAAATTTGGAATGACTACTATTAATGGTAGTGCTTCTTGATAACTTCATTCAAAGAGTTCTTGTGAAATCTGTGATTGGACTTGTATGTTTTAAATTATTTTTTAAAGGAGATTACCACTCCCTAATATATTATCTGTCATAGTTTGGAGCAGATTTTAAGTTAGAGTACCAGTATATAAATTATACAACTATAGATAATTGCAATCAAGATAAATTTTTTAACCTATTGAAGAGTACTACAAATGAGTGTACTATAAATTTTAATGCATAATTCTGAAATGATTTCCTTGGTAAAGGAATGTTGAAAAAATGTACCCAGTTATAAAGATGTGATAGAACTGGAAACGATATTTAGAGAATAGAAGGCTTGGAAAGTAATAGTTAATGGCCTATGCTCCACTGGCAGATATCAGACAGAGAAGTCTACTGCAAATTTCTCCTTTCTAACTATCTCAAAACTTTTCAAAAAATTCTTCAAATTAAAATTTAAATGAGTAAAAAAATTATATTGATTATATTTTTCTTCTTAATTGACTTTTATTTATGAATGTGTAGTATATCATAACTATACTTGTACAATATAACAGTATCCATCAGAAATTTAAGCTTTTTACTGTGATTATATCTCAACTGAAGGGTGCCGATTTAAATCTGTGTTGTATTTAAAGTCACATTCTTCAACATACAAAAGAAGAAAAGTATAGGTCTATAATATAACTCTAACAGAGCTATAGGCCTTCTAAGTCAACTAAGTTTTATGTTTTTCTGTGGAAATATTTAAAAAGTATACCTAAGAGGTCGCCACAGAAAAACAATTTCATAATTGACCTAAAGTAAATAAGTAAATTTAATAATGAAAAAGTTGAACACTTTAATTTTAATTTCAGTATGGGGCTTCTATTTGCTATGGTGGGGGGTGGGGGTTGTTGTTTGATGTTGGTTTTGGAAAATTTAATTTCTAATTGTTATTTGTAATTGGAGATCTAGAGCTCTGGAGCAATATTTTCCTTGCCAGGAGCTCGAGCTGGTAAAATTTCTCACTGATCAGAGACCCAGTTTAAATAACAGTAAATATTTCTTTAAACACTCAACAACCCTTCAACTCCTTTTAATTTTGTCGGACCTGAGCTGGAGCTGAAATTAAATTGTCCACAGTAGAGTTTGTAAAAAAAACCTGC